ATCACCTGGCGAGGCGGGCTGTGCCTGGACGTGGGGAGGGTCTTTGTTGTTTTAGGGCAGTGATGGCGAACCTTTTGAGCTCGGCGTGTCAACATTTTGAAAAACCCTAACTTAACTCTGGTGCCGTGTCACATATAGAAATTTTTTGATCTTTGCAACCATAGTAAAACAAAGATTTATATTTTTGATATTTATTTTATATATTTAAATGCCATTTAACAAAGAAAAATCAACCAAAAAAATGAGTTCGCGTGTCAGAGGCGTCATAGGTTCACCATCACTGTTTTAGAGCCTTCCTGTTACATGCTGGACCGTGGGGCCAAAATTCAAGAACCGAAGGTAAGGCATCGGTCTCACCAGGCCTGGGGGCCTGTAGACACCATTGTCTTCTCTGGGGCGGCACTCGTAGCTGCCACTCTGTGACAATCAGGCATTTACGAGACTTGAAAGGAGCAAGCCAGCCGCGTGGAAGGAGTCTTTACTCACATAGACCAGCAAGGTGGGCGAGCAGGCAAAGGGTCGCACCACTGAGAGGCCGGGGTGGGAGGGGACTGGAAAGCAGGGCCTCTCGCTCAGGCCACGTGGGCCACGTCCCACAGAGAACACGAAGGAGCCCGAGGCCGTTGCTGAGAGCCCAGCATGTAGATTTCGTGTGTAAGCACATGGCGGGCTGAGTGGGAGTCAGCCCCCAGCTGGGCTTAGGAGGAGGTGCAGTGCGCAGGGGCTGGGAGAGACGATGGAGGGTGGGGATCCTGTCGCTCAGGAGCCCTCGGCTCAGCTGGTGCGGCCCTCGTGCTGTCTCCCAGGAGGGCTTGCAAGCAGATGGTGCGATGGAGAGGGCGCCAAGAAGGCCATCCAAGTGACCGAAGGCCCGGGGAGTCTGTCCCTGTTGGCAGAGCCTGGCTCAGGCCAGCAAGGGCCGGAGACGGGGAGGGCGATGCGATGCTAGGCACCTGCCTGCTGGTCACTGAGAGAAGGCAGGAGAGCGGACGTCATGCTGCAGCACGAGGGACTGAGGGGAGACAGCGGAAGAGCTGCCTGTGGAAACAGGCAGGATACTGAAACATGGATTAAATGGAATTTGGATGTATTTTCTGGCCGAACATGGGGAAACCGAACCAGTTAATTCAGTTTCAAGCTTTTTAAGTTTCCATAGAGTCTGATGGGCAAGATATCTCTTTTCAAATTCTTGCTTTTTGATGAAACTCTCCTAGGACCTCATTTGGCCTACAGTTACCCCAGTGGCCACTCTCCCCCCAGTGGCCACCTGCCCACAGAGGAATATATTTTGAAATGGAGGTAAACCTCCCATAACACAAAATTCACCATTTTAATGATTTTAAAGCACACGTTTCCGGGGCTTTCAGAACGTTTACAGTGTGCTGCAGCTACCGGCACCGTCTAGCTCCGGAACATACTCATCACCCAGAGGGGAACCTGCACCCTGAGGCAGGCACCACCCATTTTCACCTCCTGCCCCGACCCCTACTAGTCATATGCTTTCTGTCTCCATGGATTTGCCATGGAAATGTATTTCTTTAGGAATCTTTTACATTATGCACTTAATTCCCCAATTAGAAACCGTAGACTACTGATACATCTGTGTGTGTGTGTGTGTGTGTGTGTGTGTGTGTGTGTGTTTGAGAAAGAGAGAGAGAGGAGAGAGGGCAAGAAAGAAGTCAGAGTAAGAAGTCAGAGTCAGCATTCATGAGAAATCTATTTGAAATATCCAAAGTGGAAACGGGGGAAATGCTTATTTTTCAATTAGAGGCCTGCAATTTGAACTAGGTGTCAACTTAAACTTCTCAAGGGCCCAGTCAGTCATAGGTTATAGAAATGTCAGACCGTTCTTGAAATATGCCTGTAACATTGAGAAAGGCTTGTGAATGGCAACATGGCTTCATAGATCCCAAATCACGCCATAAAGTTTCACATTTTCACATCCGACAGCAGCCCCGGCCGGGACCAGCTCTTCCTGGAATGGGTGATGCCAGCCCCGTTGCTTTTACTTGGAGCGGCGTCCTGGTGGCCATGCCTGTCTGCCTTTGTCCCAGTGAGCACGTCCGCTGACGCGGGGGAAGCTCAGGATGCCCTGACCGGTAAGTGAAAAAGCAACTGGAAATAAAATAATACAACCCCTTTTATTGGCCAAGCGTAAATACTTACCAATTTCAAATTAGAACATACAGTTTATTCCGGTTGGACTTTTTACAGAGTTAGCTAACCTAGTCACAAACGTAAAAACCTTGGAAACGAACTGGGAAATGGTGTTTAGGGTGCCTATTCTTTGTAAAATGGTTTAAAAATTGTACGGCCTTCTTGGTCATGATTACATGACAGGGAAGGTGTGTTTTCTGACTTCTGGGAAAATACCTAAAGGTTTTGAAAGAAATCTGGATTTCCAACCCGTCAAATGACTCCTAGGAGGAGTAGCCAGGAGGGTTTGTGGTTTAAGCGGTGCTTTGTGATCTCGAATGTCAAGGCCAGGAGATGACCGTCACTTTGCATTTGCACATATTTTGAGGGTTTTTATTACATTTCACTTTTCATTCCTTTATATTCCATGCGCCCCAGCTACTCTATCTGGACTGTTCCCAGTAACACTTAGGGTTCCCCTGCCACGGCTCACACACCTCGCTGGTTTTCATGCTGTGGGTCTTGCTCGTTTTCTTCCCAAAGTCCCTGTGTCTTTCCTACAGGCGTCACCGTGGTCCCTGTCTGATCTCTTCATCCTCTTAGCGTTGGCTTCTGGGGACTCCTCCCTGACAGTGGAAAACAATCTCCGTATCACGTTCTGAGGTATACACTGACTGGGCTGCTACTCCCACAGACACTTCTCAAGCAGTGGTGACCAGAGGTACATTAAAAAATATATTTATTTGTATTGATTTCTGAGAGGGAAGGAGAGGGAGAGAGAGAGAGAAACATCCGCGATGAGAGAGAATCATTGATCTGTGGCCTCCTGCAGGCCCCCTACTCGGGGTTGAGCCTGAAACCCCCTGAGATGGAATTCAACCATGACCTGGTTCATAGGTTGATGCTCAACCACTGAGCCACACCGGCCTGGCCAGAGGTAAATAAAAAAAAATATTTTTTTCCCTTTACTGATTTTTAGAGAGAGGGAGAGGGGGATAGAGAGAGAGAAACATCGTCCATCGGCTGCCTCCTGCACGCCCTCCACTGGGGATCGAGCCCACAACCCCAGGCATGTGCCCTGACTGGGAATCGAACCATGACCTCCTGGTTCATAGGTCAACGCTCAACCACTGAGCCACACCAGCTGGGCCAGACGTAAACTTTTAAAAAACCAAGGGAACCTCCTTTAAGGCACCTGGGAGTTGGCAGCACAGGGCTCCTCTGTGGCCCGGGAAGCTCAGGAAAGCGCCGGGAGGCCTGTTGGCGAGAGGCCTGTGCAAACACCATTATCCGGGTGCTTTGCTGTGGACCCACCCGTCACAAGATCACCTCCAGGGAGAGGTGCCGGCCTGGAGGGCTCACTCCTGTCTCCCCCTCGGGAGCTGCCTCGGTTTACCTCCGGGGCGTGTGGATACCATGGCCCTCTGGTCCCAACCTCAGAAGACAGCCCCTCACCCCCCTGGGAGTGAAGAGGAAGGACGTGAAGGCCGTGGGAAGAGGGGAGAGCGGGGCTGGAAGGGAGAAGGCGGTTGGCAGCAGTAGCTGAACTGCACCCCTATCTCTGCCCTCCAGACCTCACGCCAACCGAACCCCCTGCGCCCCGCCCGCCGCCACCCGCGGCTCCTGATGGCCGCTCCGATACAGGGCCGTGTGCACGCGTCTCCCCGCACACCGGGCGCAGTCGGGCCTGGGCCCGCGGGTGGATCCGGCCGCCGTGGCACCTGTCGGACCCCCTCCCGGGATTTGGCGAGTTGGCGAAGGGTAAGGTCAGGGCCTGGGAGGCAGAGGGGCCGGACCCGCGGGATGGAGGGCGGGGAGGAGGGTGAGTCTGGTCGCTCCAGAACCCTTCACCTGCCCCTCGGGAGCGCGGAGAGGCTCTGTCTGGGCCGGGCCGGGCCGGGCCAGGAATGACTGGGATGACCGGTATTCCCGGTCCCTCACCGGCCGGGGGCAGGGGGAGGGCGGGGAGGCAGGATGGGGGGCAGGATGGGGAAGGAAGGGAGAAGCCTGGCTGCTTTCCCCGCTGTAGCCGGGGGGCCTCGGAGACCCGAGTTCTGGGCTGGACTCGACCTTCCCGCCGCGTTTCTCCCCGAGGCGGCTCGGGTCCCTGCGCCCTTCCTGCCCTTTGATGCTGGGCTCGGAGGGACCCGCTGTGCGTCCGTCCGGGCAGACCGGCGGCCGGGGACACACCTCTACGTGAAGGTTTTCGTTTAAAAAAAAAAAAGAAAAAAGGCTTCCGCACGCCCAGGCTGCAGCTCGGCAGCGCTGCCCTCCGTGCCCGC